CTTCGCGCTGTCATCGTCGCCTGGATAACGAGCTGTCGCCGGATACGTGTATACTACACCGTGTACCACCGACGTCATTTTCAACGATCGCAAATTAACGAGGAAACTGCCGCCATGCGAAGATATTTTAACGCTTCTCGATGACAACCTGTCACGATGGAACGAACAACGGGTTAGGTAACTTCGGTTTCTAGTGTACGATTGTGCTTTTTTAAACTGATATCCTTGTTCGTTTGCTGTGCGTTGCAAAGTAACAATGAATACTTTGCGAATCGGCTTCTATGTTTTTTAATGGTTTTTGGTGTGCTTGAGAAATGTGGAGTTTAGAGAATACATGCGCTGAAAATTCGATACAGGTTTCTTAGAAATTGACGAAATTGCATAGATTTGAAGAGAATAATAATTGAAGAGAGACGGTGTTTTTTGGAACACCGTGTCTCAAAAACTAATGTATATATTCGTACGAAATTTGGACAGAACATAGTTAGAAGTGTCGCACACCAGCTGTCGATTCCATTTTCCTACATCTCACTCCGAACCTTATCCGTGATCAAACGAAGATGGTGTCGCGATAAGAGCCGAGTTTGTGAAGCGGCAAGTTTCGGCCAAAGGGGCCATAAACCGAAGAGAAAAGAAGTTTTTCCAATCTGACGAGTAGGCTTGAATCGCAAACATAGCCAGACCGCCCATGCTGCTGTATTTGCGCCTGTGATAGATGTCTTGTTTGGAGTTTGACGCGATGTATCACGCCGTGCGACTGACTAAATCCCAATAGTTGTGCCGGCCGAGATTAATTGAATCGATACGAACAACTGGTCTGAATTATTAGCTCGAGGGCTTCTGCACCGAGCACTGGTAGATCGTGGAACACGTAGTACGTGTGACACAGTTGCGAGAAACTATAGCCTCTCTCACGTTCCATGGAATCTGCCTTCAACGGCGCAATCGAACAAGCTTCACGTCTCGTTTAACGAAGATCACAGATGAAACTATCGTAATAACGTGGAACACGACGATAAGCGAATGCTACAATCGCCGGAGAGAAAAGAAACAGAGCGAGAGAAATATGGAAACGAAAAAACAGCACGTAAGCGAGAGAGAGAGGGGGAGGTGTTTCTTTGGAGGAAAAGTTGATACGAACATATCGCGAGGAAAGATAAATTCGAAATTCTAACGAAGATTAAAGCGAAGTTTAGAGGTACACCTTGGCCTAGATCTATGCAAAGCGATACTTAAAACGAGCACGGAGGATAAGGGAGGCTCTAAGAACGGCTAGGCTAAGATTGCATCAACTTCATCGCCATATTTTCCACAGAGCATAATGCTCGCTGGTTTTAATACCTCTGGAAGGCGAGTGTCCGCCATGTTGGCGCTACACCTGGACTTACAGGGTCTCGTGAAGATTGTCCGGTGTAATTTATTCATCAAAAGTGATAAACCTTACGCTGGCGCTAAGTCCTCCACTTTTTACGTCTGTACCTTCTTTTCTTTACAAATCGTAGCTTTTACGAAGAATACAGAGCAGGGAGCGGCGTGTAAGATTTGAATATTTCTAAATTTCATCGAACCTAAGCGAATAAATCAATCAAAAATAGACGTAATGTTTAATCCGGAAAATTTACGAGGAACAAGAGCAAACGAAACGCGACGAATCTTCGTCCGAGTGCTCCCAACGTTCCTCCGCGATCCATCAACCACCTTCGATCAATATTGATCAGCAATACGTCAATTCCACCCCGCGGAACGTAAAAAACAAAGAGGAGGGGCGAAAGAGGCGACGAAAAGCCCGGTTCGCCGACATGTACGAGAGGCGTCCGATCCGCGCCGCGATATTTACCGATTCCCCGGTTAAACTGGATGTTTTCGCGAGGGGGTGTGGGAACTGGGGAAAACCGGAAGAAGGGTGGCGGCGGCGGAACGCGAGGGACAGCCGTGCAAAAATGTGGAAATATGGTGGGTCCGTATAATTTCCGACTGAGCGCCGCTCGCTCGCCGAATTCTCGTCAACGTTTCACCCTCCGCAGACCACGCATACACACACGCGTGACGCCTACTATTCTCACCCCTTTTTGGCCGCAGTTTGTCTGCATTAACGCTCAGAGAGAGAGAGAGAGAGTGGCAGGTTCGAAGCGGAACAACAAAGGGGGAGGGAAAAATGCAAATTTGTTGCCGGAGAAAAGAAACTTTCGAATTTTTGCCAAATATACGGAAAAAGAAGAGTGGTTTTTTTTACTTTGGTGCAATTTTACAAAGTTACGACGGGAGAGTGCTGCGCGGGTGCCTTTGTGAAGCAAACTAGGGGAAATCGTATCGCGACGGAAGCTCGGCGTACGCTGTTAATTTT